GCGGCGTCAGCTCCACAGACTCGCCGGTGAACTCGGAGTCGAAGTAACGCGTGTCCGTCTCGCTCTCCACCTGCGGCTTGAACGGCGGCGTGATATGGAACGGCCGGCGGTCGGGTCAGGGTAAGGTCAGGTCAGGAGTCGCGGCCGAGCACTGCGTCTGGGGTCCGGTCGGCTCGGCAGGGCAGGTGGTCACGTCACGGGCGGCCGGCCAGGCCAGGTCAAATCAGATCGATGATCGCCAGCGCGAGCACTCCCAGCTGCAAGGCTCAACATCGGCTCCAGCAACGAGCGAGTCTGGGCCCGGGCGCCGGCAGCTGTTCCGCGCAAAGCCCGTGCGACTCCGGGTGGTTCTGTCGTGCCGCACTGTGACTGAGGGCCACCCTCGTCCGCGATGCCCTTCAAGCGCCGACATAGTCCATCCATCACCCACAAGAAGCCAACAGCAGCACCCGCAGAACGGCGCCCGGCCAGGACGGCTTACATTGAGGAGCCCTCCAGAGTCAGGACCCGCGGCCCATTACTGTGCCTCGTCAATTGCCCCATTGGCCTCAGTGGCGTAGCTCCCACGAGAGGGTATCATCACGAGTCCTGAGCACGGCCCGAAACGTTCCAGAGTTGCCAATACAATCAAATGCAGCTTGTTAACGTCGTTTAACCAGTACCTTCTGGTATCGTGAGGGTCAATAACTACCAGCATAATATCTCTGACCATAAAGTGGCGAAAAACCAGGAGCTCGATGCCTTCCTTGCTTGTATCAAGGACCCAAACAAGCCAAAACCGAGGACCACCGCTCGCGTACCAGCGGACCAACGGTGTCCTCCCCAGACCAGGGACCAGCGGCGTTCTCTACCGTCACTGCTAACAGACCAGCAGCCACCACCGAGCGCTGCCTTACGAAACAAACTACCCTTGGCTGCTTGAAAGACCAACCGTTCAGGTGCACGGGCCCCCAATGCGCGTGCTGCAGCGCACCACAGGAATACGTCCAGGAAGCCGAGTTCGCGCGCTCGCAGCGGCTGACGTCATTCACGAACGTGAGAGTTACAAGACGACCGAATGAAATCCCTGCGCGTGATACGCCAGTAGTGGTTGCGTGAATACATGCCCACAAAAATAGACTGACTTTGAGCTAGCTGGTCACCATCACTGCGCCAGATCTAGTTCTTAAATCCGGTTGACAGGAGCGACTGCAATGGCACGTCACTCCCACCCCCGTCCAGCTAGACCGATGCCAGCCGCTGGCACAAACTCCCCAGCTGTCTGACCTTCTTGGCCTCCAGATCTTCCCAGTTAATGGGAGAGAAGAAGGGGTGCTCCTTGATCTCCTCGGCGTCCCGGGGTCCGCCACCCAACCGTCTGGTCGGGTCCTTCTGTAGCAGGCCCTGCAGCAGCGACTGGGCCACGTCGCTCAGCGCCAGCGGAAACCGGACCTGGTGGAGAAACACGTCACACGGACCGCACCTGGTGGAGAAACGTCACACGGACCACAACTGGTGGAGAAACACGTCACACGGACCGCACCTGGTGGAAAAACGTCACACGGACCACACCTGGTGGAGAAACACGTCACAGGGACCACACCTGGTGGAGAAACACGTCACAGGGACCGCACCTGGTGGAGAACACGTCACACGGGCCACACCTGGTGGAGAGACACGTCACAGGGGCCGCACCTGGCGGAGAACACGTCACAGGGACCGCACCTGGTGGAGAACACGTCACACGGCACCCTGGTGGAGAGACACGTCACAGGGGCCGCACCTGGCGGAGAACACGTCACAGGGACCGCACCTGGTGGAGAAGGGATCACACCTGGCAGAGAAATACGTCACACGGACTGCACCTGGCGGGAAAATACGTCAGATGGACCACACCTGGGGGGAAACACGTCACAGGGATCGCACCTGGCAGGGACACGTGCAGCATGGGTCACATGTGACGGAGGCCGGTCACAAAGACTTTTGACCCTACATGTCACGAGGGCCACACCGGACGCAGACACACGCCACGGGCCACGGGCACAGCACCTGATGCAGGCCACACGGACCGGCCCCGGGCGCCACACGTCCGGGATCGGGCCGGCCCGAGACAGCCGGCGACCACAACGCAAGAGCTGGAGACGCACATGACACGGGGTCGGCGCCCGGCGTGGCACATGGGTGCCTGATGATGCCTCGCGAATGGACACATGAGTTAAGCCAGAGGAACCTAGGCATAACCTGTACCTAGAACACAA